TTTGAAAAACAAGTTAGGGATACTGCAAATTTCTTAGAGATATTTATTCAAAGAATAAAAGATTGTTGTCAGCACGAATAGCATGCCTCAATTTCACAATCGTCCACGCTGTGTACTTACTGGAAAAATCAAAGTAGTATTAGAACCTGAGAGATACTTAAATCTGAGAGATACTTAAATTTATTGGCAAGCAATTATAGTCTAAAATATATAGTGACGAGTTTTTGCTGTTTTGGCCATAAACCTAATGTTGAATTAGGTAGACACACAAAAATACCGTTAGGTCAAAGAATTTGCAGTTTTTGTAGTAATACGTTTGAATTTGAAGAGACGGAAAATGAAATTCACTGTATTTTTATATGTCCATTTTATAATGATCTAAGGGATTATCTTTCGCCAATAACACTATGCAATTAGGCAAATACTGGCAGTCTAGGCTCACTTCTTGGCTCCACAAACGACAACACCACTTATCAACTAGCCCTGTATCTATCAAAAGCTTTCAAGCGACAAGATGAATAATGGATATGAATCCAGCTTAAACTAGTACCATATGTTTACATGGATGTTGCACTGTTTTTAAAACGTGTTATGTACTTTTCTATCCAATACATTGTAAATACTTTTTTTGTACGATAGCCTGAGGCCCTGTACTGGAATAAATAATAATAAATTACATAACAATAAATTGACTACCGGTAATACTAAAATGAATAATAATTACAGAGATTTTGACACGAAATTGTGCCACTGCTATGTGTGCTAACATCTGTGAAGAGCGTGAAAACTTGTGAGTAAAATTCTACCTTGAAATGCTTAGACAATAATGCTAAGATATGTACAATCTTGTCTTTTTTGTGTACAACAATTTGTCGTAGTGGATCTAGGGTGTGCGTGTGTGTGTCTGTAGGTGGGGGATGGCTCAGGAACCCCTTTCTCTAAAATGGTAAAATAGTTGATATATAACACAAAGTAAGCCAATAAACCATTTTCCGTTCAAGGCACTGCGAGAATCACGCGTTATGCATGAAATCGAACGTAAAAACAGGACAAACAAAGGTCATTGCGTCGTAGTGGCGTCAAACATCGCGTGGGATTCGACAAATGCGAAAATATTTTGGGGGGAATTTCCATGCTTAATAATGAAATAAAATGTTATTCTATGTATAACCTTGTTTCTCATCTGCGCGAGACTTCGATACTTTGATCATGATACTCCCATGAAAATGCAACTTGGGTTTGTTATGCGGCGGGCGGAACAAAAATTAATATAAAAATAATTTTTTTTTAGCAATTTTTTGCAGTCGGCGGGTGCGAGAAATTACGCTGAAATAAAATTTTATTTTTATTTCATTTTCGGCTTCTGTTCATTCAGCGGGTTCGCGAAACAAAGGATAATAAATTTGTTGTTTTCGAACCCCCTATTCAAAAGTACTGCATGACTACGGGCCTGAAACTATTCATGAAACAGGGATATTTACAACATGTAATGATTTGTGTTTTTGAATGGGATGATTGTTTTGCTCATTTCTGTTGATGTGATCTACTAGTATTTTCAAGTGTTCACATTCTGTCATACACCTCAGTCTACTATAACGATCATGTTATCTTACAATCCTTGGTACAGTCAATTCTAAGTATAAACATGCCTTTGTTGATTTCTGTGCAACACGGGGTGAACACATGATGTACCGAGTAATAGTAGGTTTAATATATACTCATTTGCATCAGGAGAAATTCCTCAACGGTTGCAAAGTTTAACCGAAGCAGTAGAAAAACAGTGTCACAGTTTTCATTTCATTCTAATTTGCGGATAACATGGTCCATGTATAAACTTGACCACATTTCAGGCAATATTGTAGTTGAAGAGACGAAATATACTTTGACAGATACAAAAAAAACAAAACAATGAATTTTATAGTTATGAGCTTCTGAAGTAGCCGTTTGCATGGACCGGGAAGGGAAACCGACTGGTTAGTCTATTATAAAGAAACCAAGTTGCCAACCGATGTGTACTCTAGCTATAAATGACAATACAACATACTTAGTCTAGTAGCTCTCACTATTTCCGCTCGGCGTTTTCTTCTCAGCGGCTTGGCAAGTCGCGTAGTTAGCAGACGACCATTTTTGTGTTGTCGGTAAACCTTTCCTAATTGTATCGCTTGGTGGCGCAATCAGTACTGACTGTATGTTGGCGACTTTTTTTACTTGTCAGAAACGGCGACGGAGAAGAGTTTTGATTTTAGCGAAAACATTATTTTATTCAATTCGAACACAATAAATAATAAAATTAAAAAAATAATAATAATAACAATAATACTAAAGGATCCCTTTTTTGAATACATTTAAAAAAATAACAGGGTATATTTGAATATGATAAAGTGTTTAGTTTCAGACCCTGTCAATATAATCATTCCAAAAGCCAATTAAACGAATATGCAAACGATATTTATTAAAGACTTCATCCATATTACCATTTCGTCTATTTTAAAATGATCTATATGGGTAAATTATTTATACGAGCACAGCATTACTAAATTTGTTTTATTATATCTATGCATAGCAGATAATGCTCAGTTGAGTCATAAATGGAAATTTTCATATTTGTGATTAAGATTTGTGTCAAAATGCCACCACTTGACATTTCTTACCTAGACCATCATGCAGTACAAACGCAGAAAAGCACAATGATTATCAATATTATATAAATTTGGCAATCGCATGTACATAATTTAAAATATGAATTTTATAGATAATTCAAAAATAAACATTGTATAGTAACTACTGTATAATCTGTAAAAAAAAATTAAAATGATACAAAGGGGATGTTGTTTCTATTAGACCATCCACACATGGTGAGAAATGTTAAATGTTTGGTTCTTAATTGTTCAAAATGTATGGCTTCTATTAGAGATACAGCTGCTTATACAAATTTTTCTAATTCTTTATCGATCTCTTAAAAAAATGAATTATAATGGCAGACATCTGCCACAGATTACACACATACACATCCCAAAAATTATAGTCAGTAATAGAAAAGACATATCAGAACATATCAGCTTTTCAAAAATGATATAAAACAAGAAGTCTACATAGATCAGCTTAATGATAGACAGGCAATCAGAATTCTAAGCAAATTCAGACTGAGCAGCCACAAATTACATATAGAAACAGGTAGGCATACACGACCAAAAACAAATATTGAGGACAGAAAATGCATCAAGTGCCAAGTCATAGAGGATGAAGTGCACTTTATCACAGAATGTGTACTTTATGAATCTGAAAGACAGGAATTATATTCCTTGTTCAATGGTATCAAAAACAAGTCATTGAAAATGACACAGTCCCCGTCAAAATTTTTGAAAGTTCTCTTTGTGCTCGTCATATTAAAGGGGAGGGGTTGTTGCAAGAGTGTCCTTGAAACTTGAGTTCCAAGTGGCGTATACAACAGATTGTTCATTTACATAAAAATATGTGTTCCATGTATGTAGTAGTAATATGGCCAAAAATAAAAACAGCCGATATTCGGCCATCTTTGATCTGATTATGAAACATACTGATATGTATGATGTATGTGCCAAATACGAATGAAAATGGTACATAAATTGTGGAAATATAGTAGTAAGGCCAAAAAGTCAGATGGCTGTGAATCAGCCATCCTTGACCAGATTTTGAAACAAATTGTCATGGACATGCATCCTAACATGTATAAAGTACATGTATGTGCCAAATTTGAATGAAAACTGACAGAGCACATCCAAGATACCGCATAAAAATACAAAAACAAGATGCCTGCCAGTCGACCATCTTTGATCCAAATGCGCAATAAAGCGTCATGGACATGTATCCTAACATGTATAATCTATGTACCAAGTTTGAATGACAACTGACAAAGCATGTCCAAAATACAACATTTTCAAAAAACAAGATGGCTGCCAGTCGGCCATTTTGAATTGAATCGCTAAACCACTGCATGTGCATATGTCCCACATAAGGTACTAGGCACGTGCGAAGAATGAACGGAATCCGTCCAAGGGATTCTGAGATACGACTCCGGACAGACGCACGGATGCACAGACAGACGGAGACCGAATTATAAGTCCCTGTTTTCGGACTTCGTCCGAACAGGGACTAACAAGGACAAATTTATATCTCTTATGAATGCCCATGCCAGACAACAATTACTGGGGTTAATTAAATATATCAAAACAGCGTATACACACTTTTTGTTTTGTTTGTTTTTAACTTTATTACCTTCTACATGTATAGAAACCAAAAAAAGAATTGTCAAATTTTCTTTAACGTTGTAATAAAGCGATATTCTATAAAAGGAACAAAATTTATTGTAAGTTATAAATATAAACAATGTTTATAATGATAAGATTTGTGATTAAATGTCACATTGTGATTGGCTGGAACGTACATTGTCAACTCTTGGTGGCGATGTTCAAAATACACTAAATTAAATTAACGTAAAATTTAGCATAGAACACATTATCTAAATGATAAAACCGTGATTTTAAAACCCACTGAATATGACTGAAATGGTAAATAAGTGAAATTTAAACCCAAAATGATACACACTGCTGAAAATTTGTGATTCTGATTCACACCATGATTCTCAAATTATAGTGATACTGTAAGATACACAACACTTTCTAAACAATTTATTTTTGTTTGACAAATACTTTAGTATTTGAAAGAATTTAGTGATAGAATATGATAAAGGAAAAAAATGAGAGAGCGCCCTCAAGACAACTATGAGATGAGACTTGTGTACAGTCTCTTGTGTTTTGATGCTTTTTTCAATAAAATAAAATATTATGCAAATATGTAACTAGCGAAAGCCGGGTTACTGCAGTAAACAGCCTTAATTTTACTGAAAACAATGAAAAACAAACAAGAGTCAGCAAGTCAAGCACTATAAATAAATATAAATATAATGCATGAATCTTTCAATTAAAATAAATAAAATAATTGCAATTGTAAATTGTTTCTTTTCATCCTTCTGTTAATTTCACATTTTTGTCTTTGTGAGCTTCTTCAGATTCTTGGGGTGGTAATGGCAGTATTTTTTTAGCTTCTTGTATTAACCTCTTAACTCCAACAATCCACTGACTAACCTAGATAATAGACAACAGTATTTTATAAATTGATTCAATAGCTGGGAACTACTATCTACTGTAACATTAGCCTTTGATCAATTACTGAAGTAGGAGGTGTTTGATTGGTTCAAATCTCTTTCCTCTTCCAGAATAATACTAACTCGGCATATAAAGCAGTACACAACATGAAGCAGGGACGTTGGAAACAGACCGTAAATTGAGTCTCTTCAGACACATGATCTCATCACATGACTTATCTCAGACACATGATCCCATCACATGACTTACCTCAGACACATGATCCCATCACAGGGCTTACCTCAGACACATGATCCCATCACAGGGCTTACCTCAGACACATGATCACATCACATGACTTACCTCAGACACATGATCACATCATGTGACTTACCTCAGACACATGATCACATCCCATGATCCCATCACATGACTTACCTCAGACACACCATCACATCACATGGCTTACCTCAGACACATGATCCCATCACAGGACTTACCTCAGACACATGATCACATCACATGACTTACCTCAGACACATGATCACACCACGTGACTTACCTCAGACACATGATCCCATCACATGACTTACCTCAGACACACGATCACATTACATGGCTTACCTCAGACACATGATCACATCACATGACTTACCTCAGACACATGATCACATCACATGACTTACCTCAGACATATGATCACATCACATGACTTACCTCAGACACATGATCACATCACATAACTCACCTCAGACACGTGATCAACCATCATTGCTATATGAATATCATTGGCTTTGTCGTATTCACTTCTTGATAATGCTAAAATATAAACAACACAAAGTAAGAGAATGGGTAATCATATACACTTGAGACAACAATTATATATTGTATATTATAAATTATGCATAAACATATATAAATATTTATAATCTTAGTAGTTACACAGTCAGTAACACCAGCTGTTCCAATTGAATGAGTCTCATTTTTATTTTAATGAAACTGCTTCATATGAAAACAGTTGGGTTTATAAATAAGTATTAGAAGTATATTTATAAGTATGAACATCAGATTAATGATCCACAAAAACAATAATATTTAAAACTTATATTTAAAGTAGATTTTTAAATAAAAGAGAAGAAAATCTCAATCTCATCAAAAATCTCATCTAAAATAGAAAGAAAATTTTTATGATAATTTTTATGATAAAACACAGCTTCCCACATTGATTTGGGAAACAAAATTTACCCGAATTTTTATTCTGATCATTATATGACACTTGTAAATGATAGATAAATACATGCTTTGACTTGCCTTGTGATAACTGGTATGTTTTATTTTGCACTTCAGGTGATAAAATACTCTGCTTCCACATATCAGATAATATATTCAGTTTTTTATTAATATCATCGGCCACTTTGGACTGGAAAACAGGTAAAATAGAAAAATTAGGTATTGTTGTTAAGGTTAAGTTTTTATTACATGTATAATGAAATATTAAACCAGATGAAAAGCATGTGCAAAAGATAAACTTCTAATTCAGCACTGTCTGGTGTGATGTCTGAAATGCCATCAGAAATTAGTAAATCTAAGGTCATTCACCTTTATAAATTCTTGACACTTTGATAATACTTCTCTAAATTTGATTAAACAGTCTTCTTGTAAATTGGATGTCTCTGTTTGATTACTTGAATCACATTCTGTTTCAGTGATCTCAGCTGATGATGGTTGTACTGATGGTTGTACTGATGGTTGTATTGATGGTTGTGATGAAAGAGGGAGTGATGGTGGAGGCATAGTTGGATTAGTACTTAAACCAACTGCAGCAGGTAATCCAGTTGACTCTAAAAAAAAGAGTTTGTGTTCAGTTTACAATACAAGGTTTATGTCATTGAATTATTAAATTTGTATTTTATTGTATTTTATTGTATTTTATTATTAAAATTTGGCAGTTAACTCTTCATTCATATATTTTATCATTAAATTTGTAAATTTAATATATATATATATATTTTTTTATACACATGTATTTACAATTTCCATTTTTTTATTAAATTAATTAAATTCAGGTAAAAATGCACTGTCACTCACATGGTAGACTACGATGATTCACATGCCTGTATTTAGAAACAATGTGACACAATTTTTAAAATCTTTGTTCATCTTGACCACGATGACATCTATTTGGTATCTTTTTATTAAATTAAGCTAGAACTTTGTTTACTCACTTCTAATTAAAATAAATTCCTAAACTGTGTTTTAAGTCCTGTTTTTCAGTTGGACATCCATATTTGATGTTCAATTAAAGCAAACATCATTGGAATAACATCCATAAATTTAGGTCAATATTATTACATGTAATACTTGAGCAAAATGTTCACAATAATAAAGTACCAAAATGTTTTATAACATAATTATTCGATGGTGATACCCCCATGCAAGGTGGTTCAAACTTCGATATTTTAAAATCCATTTACATTGGCGTACCTAGTTCACATCTGTTTTTCTCTTACTGTGATGTGTATGTGTAAATGGACACAAAGAACAGTTGTGAACATAATATATCAGTCACACTTAATTACTTTTCAACACAATTAAAATATCAATTACAGAAAAAATATTAATTAATAATAACAAGCCATGCATGGCACAGTCCCCGTTAGTTATCATACATGTATATACAGTACAAGTACTTGTCATATTGGGAGGTATTGCCCTGGAACAGCATTAATTAAAACAAAATGGCCATCAGTTGGCCATTTTATATCAAATCATCAAACCAATATATCTGTATAACTGTGACATAACGTGTAATGAATATATAAAATTTGAAGATCAGTCAAAGCATGTCAGAGATATGGCTCTAGAATCACATTCATTAAAACAAAATGGCCACCAGTCAGCCATTTTGAATCCGAATCTGAAAAACAAAATGACGTGCATCAGGGATCCATAATGTCTAATGTATGTACCAAGTTTGAATTAAATCCATCCATAAACAACTGCGATCCAGTTCCAAAATGCCAGATTTTTGATGATTTTTTAGTGCAAAAATGGCCACCATTCAGCTATTTTAAATTGGATTGCCAAACTAATATATCGGTATATCTATGAGATGATTTATAATGAATATTTAAAATTTGAACATAATCAGTCAAATATATGAGGGATATATTGGTAGCACTAGAACCACATTCATGAAAAAAAGATGGTCGCCAGTCAGCCATTTTGAATAATATCTGCTTGATTTTGATGATATTTCAGTACAAAAATGACCGCCCTTCGGCCATCTTGAATCAGATCGTGATTGATGTGCATATGTACCGGTATATATTATGTATGATGTATGTGTGAAGTTTAAATTTAATCCGGTCCAGGCATGTTTAAGATACAGGTCCAGACGCACAAACGCACAGACCCACGATCGTATGGATGCACAGAGTCCCTGTTCATCCATAAGTCCCTGTTTTCAGACTGCGTCCAAACGGGAACTAAACTAATAATCAGAACAGAGCAATAGACTTGTGGGAAGGGCATGCAATATTGCCTGAGCAATCTCACCCCCAATTAGGGCACACCTGGCTGAAATATACCAGCACAGCAATCACAATGTACAGAAAAGATATAAATAGTGTGATAGCAAAAAATAAAGAAAAAATTCTCAGATGTTGTATTGGACATACCTTTGCTACTTGAAATTAAGTTGAATTGGTTAATGTAAAATGCTAATAGTGAGTTTTTGACATGTGTAGATATTTTAGCACACAATATGTCATTGAGCAAAATTTCAAGATACCGGTATATTTGTTCAATAGGAAACAATAGTAAAATGCTCTAAAACAGACAAACATGCTATTTTCACTGTATTTTATTGATGGATTTTTCCTAGTAATGTAAGCTCAAATTTTTATTTACATTTTCTTCATCCTTGTATCAAATATGTAACAATAAAAAAATGAAAATATTTTCACTTTTGTGTAGCGTTAAGAGTTGATACCTAAAAGAGACTGAATAGAGTTCAATATTTTAAGTAATTCTCTAAATAAATACGAGTTTAATTTTATAACAGGTCATAAAAAATGTATAAAAACAATTGACAGAAAAAAAAGTAAAATATGAATATCCTTCTGAATAAATATAATGTACACAATTTTTAGTGGTCAACTTTTAAATGTACACATTTTGAAAAATATCACTTTAATTTAACAAGATTTAAGCCAAGTTGAAGTGTATGACATGTTCAGTGTACTATCATTATTATGTATTCATGCCATTAGGATACAAATAAAAAAATGAAATGGAGTCACCAGGCAATTTTTTTTTTAAGATACAAGAAGTTCAAATTGCCATGGAAAATGGTTAAAATTTGTTTCTATGGTGACATTTTTTCGTTGTATCAAAGAATTTTGTTTGGTGACATGGCAGGTAAAAATCATATATAATTTAGTGAGATAATTTTCTACATTATATACAATGGAAAGTTCTCTCCCATATTGCATTGCATATATGACTTCTGTGGCAAAAATGCACTATGTGTCAGCACCAGCACTTGCAATTTGCACATTCAAAATGAAAAAAAAAAAAAGTCAGGAGAGACAACAGTGACATTCAATGTTCGGAACTGTCGCCTGGTACTAAAAAAAAAGTATTACTTAGTAATAATAACTTTATTACACAACTGCACCATCAGTGGGTGCTGTATGGTAAGGATACAGATCAGAAACTAGTAGATTACAGATTAGTAACTTACTCTCCGCGGGAGTTGTCAAATTGTGCCCAACTCGTTTGTTCAATATATTTCTTCTTGGCGATTTCTGAGCATTGTTTTCTATTGAATATGAAAACATCGGCGGATCATTCCAACCTCTGTCCGGGTTTCCTGAAATTTTAGAACATATAGCGTACGTTAGTGTCATGCCCGGAGTCGACGATCCCTATGACTGTGATGAATCACTGTTAACACGTCATCATGGTCGGAAGCGAATGCTCACTCGGGACAAGAGTATGCACAACACAAAAACGATTCAGTAAATCGAAAATGAACGAATCAGAAAATATCAGCAAATTTTTAACTTCTTATTACGTATTACTAAAATTACAAATAATCATAATGAATGATTTTACTCACCCGGCTTCGTCGCCATGTTTTTAAAACATAAATCAGGTGATAGTGATCATGTGACAGAGTTTGACCAATCATTGAACGCCAAATCTTCACTCCTGTGACTCAAAATTTTAGTTGCTCTCATTGACTGTGGCTTTTCAATCTACTTGATGGCACCCCTTCAAGTTGTAAAATAATTTCTCATTTTGTCAAGCTGTTATCCGGACAATATTAACATTTAAAATATTTTAAACGAAATATGTATTTTCGAATTATATTTATCTGTGAATTTATTTTAATTTCTAGTTTTGTTTCACTGTTGTGCAGGATTTGCTGTTCAGAGAGAGAGGGAGTGAGAGAGAAATTTCCCAATAACCTCCTTCTGGCCGCGTTATACGCCCGCCTTGTTCGTTCTCTGTTCAGTGTTGTTTATTGTGTACGTTTGGGAGCTGCCGTCTGGTGTTTTACGAAATCAACTTCGTCGTCACATGCTACAATGTGTTGGTATAACTAATTCATTTGGATATCATCTATGATTTGGGGATATGTTTGGACTTTCACATTATCTTCATCCCACGAACTGGACAGGCCTTTTCCCTGTTGTTGTCATTATTGTCGCAACTTCGTGGATCATATCAGCTGGCCAGCACGTCCCTGAGCAGCCACATCCGTTAACAAAATCCAGAAAACAAACTACTGCTTTAACAGTGCCAGGTATGTATTCGATATTTCTGCTCAGTCGATATATACAAGTTGTTAAAATAACAGCAATTACTGCCGATCGTTTTCCGTTTGTTCAATTTCCTTGAAATTGCGGAGGTCAGGGAATGTCACTTTAGTGTGGCACGAGGTGGAAGATATAATAAACTTGCCTCATGTGTCTTTTTATATGCGAATATGTGGAAATTAATAGTAGGTTTGTTATTTCTGTGTCTTGTTGGTCTGTTTGTCATTTCCAAATCGTACATAAGCAGGTTTCAACGAGTTGATCTTATCGTAGACTAAATTATTTATTCTGACCCTTCTTCCATGTGAAACTGTCAGCAGTGTGTAGTCTGATACTTTTTCGAAGTAAGCTTATTAATAAATTAATGATTACAAATATGTTGGTCTGTAAAATCGAGTGATGCAGGTCATGTCGCATTGTTTGTTGATACATAGCAATGACCGATAATAACTCGCCAATCTGACGTCATGGGTGAAGCAGGTCATTGAACACTAACAATACCCATCCTCCAATACCTGTGTGAGAGTCAATCATCTGAAAAGACGCAGTCCCTCCAGTGTGAGGTCAAAATATAACGTTAAATGTCAGCATTAAATATCACTTTTTCTTTTCACAATTTACTTGTCATATAAGGAGTTTATTAGCTTTATTTGGACTGAGCCTGTCATTGCTTGTACTAGTGTTAAAGCAACAAATGTTTCAATGACTATCAATGTTGTATTCTTTCTCAGTATTGTACAATTATTAAGATCAGTTCTATGTTCAATAGTACTTTCTTTCACTTCCTCAAACCACACTGCGTTGCACCCATGAACCACACTGTGTCACCATGAACCGCACTGTGTCATCCTTGAACCGTACTTTGTCACCAATGAACCGCACTGTGTCACCCTTGAACCACACTGTGTCACCCATGAACAGCACTGTGTCATCCTTGAACCGCACTTTGTCACCCATGAACCGCACTGTGTCACCCATGAACTACACTGCGTCATCCTTGAACCGT